TACATTGTGGTCACTCCCTTTAAGAGGGGTGGGGCACCCCAGGAAAATTGGATATACATTCCACAGCTGAAAAGTTGGGAGAGCAGTGGGGAGGGGGGGGGTTGCTTGATTCTGTGGAAAAATTTAGGTGCAACTACGAAGAAAGGGTCAGTCAGCATCTGGTTCCTTTAATTTGATTTTTTTTTGAAAATCTCTGTAGCAGCCCCTGTTTACAATCTAGATTTACCTTGTAAGCATATCCAGTGCAGCTTTACTCATATTGTATGGAGCTAACCCTGGGACAGCATGGGTCCCAAGAATAGAGGAGACATTCACTACAGAACCCTTTAAACATGAATGGAGTCTTCGCCACAAACTCTTTTATTCTAATACCTGTATCTTTGGAAATCAATGCCGTAAAACTAGAATATTTCAAACTATGATCAAATAACCTAAATTTGAAATATCATTAGGTTGCAAAGATAAAGTGATTTAAAAATTTGCGTTTGTGGCAAAGATTCAATTTCTTTGTCAAGATTTACTGATCACAAGTCACAACCGGCCCAAGCATTTTGTAATGCCGAAGCATCCAAAGCATTGAAAAATCACAAACATTTAGATTTGTTAGAATTTGAAAAAATAATGTTAAGGATATCTCACAACTTTTTACCTGGATATAATTCAATGTTCAGAAAAATTGTTAAGTTCATTTTTTTCAATTTTGTTATAAATAGCTTATGTTAGTGTTAAATAAATATTTTTATATTCAACATTTTTTTAGAATTTTCGATATTTTAGCAGGTCGTCATTAAAAGTCTCATCCTTTAAAGGTAACCCTGTAGCAAGATTACTGAAGCTAAATACCTGGACTATCTCGAGTAATAAAAAGATTGATAAACTCAATAAAAAAACTGACTTTAAGGGACTGTAGACGTTATTTCAAGTGACGCTTCATATTGGGTTCACCCAACCAAGGATTCTCCAATATGTATATATATTGGGTTCACCCAACCAAGGATTCTCCAATATGTATATATATTGGGTTCACCCAACCAAGGATCCTCCAATATGTTTATAGTATCGTACAGTTCATTGCTCCCATGTCAGTGAAATAAAGCCTACAATGCAATCCAAGAATAAAGCCAAACAATCTAGACCTAGTCCAAGAGGATGTTGAACCCCGAATCCCCAAAGACCTAGTCAGTAGGCACGAAGCAACGAATAGGAGAAGTTCCATGGAATATACATTCGCTACTTTGAGCGAACAAGAAGAGGTTATCGATCAGTTTATCATTAGTTTGTATATTTAAACCTGTAAATATAGTTTGTGTGTAACCATGTTTTATTATTCCACTCAATCTTGGTCTTTTCTTTCAGTCCTTTAGTCAAGTATATAATATTTATAAAGTAGCCTGTCCAATTCCTAACTTTAACAAATACCTTAGATTTAGTGAGATGTGGAATACACTGTTGAGTTAGCGTCATTATAGATCTAAAATAAATGGTAGACTTCATGGGCGTACACAGAAATCTCATTATATTGTTTTAATAATTCAAATATTTGAAGAGAGAGGAGCGTGGTAAGTATTTTAATTACAAAATTATTAACTTAAAAGAAAACATTATCAAATAAAAAACTTTGATTCTTAAATTTAATTTGGATTATAATTTTTCAAAAATATTCATCGAACGTTGTTTGACACATAGAAAGCTGATGGGGACAGATATGAAAAATAAAGACCCCATTTTTAATTTTGATGAAAACTTTGTTCCTAACCTAGTGTTAATATTCATTACTTTGTCAAAATCCTCAGTCGTGGCTTCTACCAAAGTCGCTAGAACACAATTTGAAATATAAAAAAAATTAAATTGAAAATTTTTACAAAGGAACTGAGGTTTTGCCACAAACTAAGATTTCCTAATCCCTAAATCTTTGCAACCCAATGCCGCAGACCTTTGTTTTTGAAACTATGACTTTATTAGATAAAATAGTAGAAATATCAAAGGTTTATACTTTCAGGTTGCAAAGATACATGGATTATAAAATTTAAGTTTGTTCCAAGAACTCAGTTCCTCTGGTTTTAAAATATATTTTTTTCGTTAATTTTTTACAAAAATTTAAATGTATTAACTTACATCTCTTGGAAAGACATCCAGCATTGTTAACAAGGACGTCAATTCCTAAATATTGAAAGAAAATTGTCAACACACAGTTCAATTCCTAAATATTAATAGAAAATTGTCAACACGCAGTTCACTGTAGACGTTATTTCAAGTGACGCTTCATATTGGNACATCAATTTCTAAATATTGATAGAAAATTGAACAATTCCTAAACTAGATAGAAAAATTATTATTAACTTGTTTTTTTTTTTGTTATTTACTCTTCTTCAATCAAGCCTTACAGGGGAATAATTAGGCATAAAATAATTAAAGCAAATGTTCAGTATAAACAATCTTGGAATTTGTAAAACCTCGAATTTTTGTGGTAGATTTACGCCGTTAAAACTAAAAAGGACGGCAAATGATTTCAGGAACCCTTAATACTGTAATAAACCGTTAATGACTATGCTGTTGACGATTTTTTAAACTGTTAATACTGTAATAAACCGTTAACGGCTATGCTGTTGACGATTTTTTAAACCTTTAATACTGTAAAAAACCGTTAACGGCTGCGCCGTTACCGATTTCTGAAACAGATGATGAATTTTTTTTCGGTGCTTCGCTTCAGATTTCGACATTTTTTTTTTAATTTGATAAAATTGAAATCCAAACGAGATTTTTAAAAATTCCTGTAATATTGAGAGCACAAAAAAAGGAAGACCGCATTTTGAAAATCCCAGAACTAAGAGAAATTTGTAGATATTGTTTCTAGAGGCATACATATGTAAAAGAAGGTTATGGACTGAATGCCCCAAATAAATTCGAAGAACAAAGCCAACTTTCAAATCGTCTTGCTCCTGTCATGTTACGTTCGAAGTCTCTGTTTGTTTTTACCGGTTTACCTCAAATTTTGATTAGGGAACTCGGTAGACCCACGGGAATGTTCTTAGTTTGGTTTAAACATTCTAAATTGAGTGGGTTGATTTTTTAGAGAAAGTTTGGTTTGCAGGGCTATAGCTTGGGTTCTCAAGCTATAGCTTATAATTTTACCATGGAAAGCTTGAAATATCTCTTGAACAACTGCAACACATTCCTCTTCAATAGACACATCACGACAACAAACTAAAACCTAAAACATTTTAGGTTTTGATTAATATTTATAAACCTTAATCAGTAGCAAATAATCTTAGCCCTAGAAGCACTTGAAGGAACAGGAAGGGAATGGATTGCCATTGACTGGACTTTTGAACCAAAATTTGTCTCACTGCATGCCTCGTTTTGCATAGAAAGATATCATTTAATTTTATGTCGCGGACATAAAACGACCATTGCATACGTTGCAGTTCCTTTACAGATCTAACCTGTGGTGCTCTATGAAATACGGCTACGGTTCCTTTAAATATCTAACCTGTGGTGCTCCTTGAATTACGTCTACAATCCCTTTAAAGATCTAACCAGTGGTGCTCCTTGAAATACGACTACGCAGTACTTTTGAAGCTTTTCATTATTTAAAAAAAATAATATTGTAAATTTCTTTTTTCACAGCTTCAAAGTTAAAAACCTACAAACCAGTACAATTAATTTAGAATAAATTTTAAGAGGTTTACAGTGAGTTCATGCATAATTTCAATTCTGATTCACAACAATACCCTTTAAAGCTTTGCCTGATCAAGTATTACATTAACGAAAGTGACTTATGCACTTCAATTGCTTTAGAAACGATGGAGAAGTGAAGGTTTCAAAGATACATTGGACATGGAGGGTCACTTGTAACTACGCATGTATTCCAAAGTATAATTACATCATATAGAAAAATACTTTAAAATCTCACTTTTGCCCCTAACTAAAAAAGTTTTAATCAATACTGGCTTCAGTGTCAATAAAGATTTGATATTATATTATCTATTTAATAAATCATATGAAAATATAGATATTTTTTAAGAAACGTTTCCAACTCTATTTTTCACCCCTTGACGCATACACCACAGTATTAAGAAGGTGTTTTGATGGGTCCACTTAAGAAAATTACATAAATAATTTATTAACACTTGGGATGGAACTGTTCTCGACTAAGACCACCAAGAACGGAACGGAACGGAAAATGGATGGAACGATTGGAAAAAGAACGAACGAGGACGTTCCCGATCTAGATAAAGGCCCTCGTTCTAGAACGAATTACTATTTCAAAAAAGTCGGAACGTGCCCAGCACTACTACAGTCCCTTTATCTATTTAACCTGCGGTGCTCCTTGAGCGCGGCATTCCGCAGCAACCTCTTCGAGTAATTCCTTTCTTCTGGCAATCAGAGCCAACCTACAAATATTCTTTAAATAAATTTAGCTTGTTTGTTTGACTGTCTGTGTCCAAAAAAACGTCAAAACGGCTAAACCGATCTAGACCGAATTTGTTGTGACAACTCCGACCCGCGAAATCACTAAAGACAAAAAATTTGTTCGGAAAATAATTTGGACATTGATTATTTTTGAAAATGCACAAAATAATACAGAAAAATCCGCACAATACGTTTTACAAAGAAAAGTGGCAGTTATGGTTAATAGCCGAAATTGTTACGGAGGCCTTGCAATTTTATACCTTAACTGCATGTCAATTAAGTTATATATCTTGCTAGATTGAAATCTGACATGCTTTCGATTATATCTTCTATAATTTGTAAAGAACTATTTAATAGAGTAAAAGTTTTGAATTGTGATTAATTAAATGGATTAGTTTTCCTCATACTCAGACTCACACTAAGTCATATCAATAATTCTAATACATTTCACCTTTCCATAGAAATTTACTTCTAAAATTAGGTTGACAAATAAACGCAGCAAATTATATAAAAAATCAAGACGACATTCAAGTCGTCCTGCATACTGTCATGTTTCGTGGGACACCCTGTAGGAGAGAATGCTCTTTATTAATTTCTTTAATTACAGGGGACTGTGAGCGTAATTTCAACCGACCCTAAATGCCAAGATAACAATGCCTGATATTTCTACTACAAAAAAAGAAATTATGATATTTAAGCACTTGTCAACATAGATGAACGAACATATATCTTTCACATTATTGTACAAATAAAGGTTTCTAGGGCATTGTGAATCGGGCATTCTTCAATCTTCACCTGGAGGCTCGCTTAAAATTACGCATACAGTCCCTCTAAATTACAACTAAAAAATATATCGTTACTATTACCTGCACCCTAGTCTAGAAAATTGTACGGCTGTACCTCTCCCAAATCCGGAACTTGCTCCTTAAAAAAAGTTGTTTGAAATTATTGCATTAAGATTTGCAATTATTTACTGCAGTAAGATTTGCAATTATTTACTGCAGTAAGATTTGCAATTATCTATTGCAGTAAGATTTGCAATTATTTAACGCAGTAAGATTTGAAATTATTTACTGCAGTAAAATTTGCAATTATTTACTGTAGTAAGATTTGTAATTATTTACCGCAGTAAGATTTGCAATTATTTACTGCAGTAAAATTTGCATTTATTTACTGCAGTAAGATTTGCATTTATTTACCGCAGTAAGATTTGCAATTATTTACTGCAGTAAGATTTGCATTTATTTATTGCAGTAAGATTTGCATTTATTTACTGCAGTAAGATTTACATTTATTTATTGCAGTAAGATTTGCATTTATTTACCGCAGTAAGATTTGTAATTATTTACCGCAGTAAGATTTGAAATTATTTACTGTAGTAAGATTTGTAATTATTTACCGCAGTAAGATTTGCAATTATTTACTGCAGTAAGATTTGCATTTATTTACTGCAGTGAGATTTGCATTTATTTATTGCAGTAAGATTTACATTTATTTACTGCAGTAAAATTTGCATTTATTTACTGCAGTAAGATTTGCAATTATTTCCTGCAGTAAGATTTGCAATTATTTCCTGCAGTAAGATTTGCAATTATTTACCACAGTAAGATTTGCAATTATTTACTGCAGTAAATTTGCCATTATTTACTGTAGTAAGATTTGTAATTATTTACCGCAGTAAGATTTGCAATTATTTACCGCAGTAAGATTTGCAATTATTTACTGCAGTAAGATTTGCAATTATTTACCGCAGTAAGATTTGCAATTATTTACTGCAGTAAGATTTGCAAATATTTACCGCAGTAAGATTTGCAATTATTTACTGCAGTAAGATTTGCAATTATTTACTGCAGTAAGATTTGAAATTATTTACTGCAGTAAGATTTGCAATTATTTCCTGCAGTAAGATTTGCAATTATTTCCTGTAGTAAGATTTGCAATTATTTAGCACAGTTATGTTTGCAATTATTTGCCGCAGTAAGATTTGCAATTATTTACTGCAGTAAGATTTGCAATTATCTACTGCAGTAAAATTTGAAATTATTTACCACAGTAAGATTTGCATTTATTTACTGCAGTAAGATTTGCATTTATTTACTGCAGTAAGATTTGCAATTATTTCCTGCAGTAAGATTTGCAATTATTTCCTGCAGTAAGATTTGCAATTATTTAGCACAGTTATGTTTGCAATCATTTACTGCAGTAAGATTTGCAATTATTTACCGCAGTAAGATTTGCAATTATTTTCTGCAGTAAGATTTTCAATTATTTACTGCAGTAAAATTTGTATTTATTTACTGCAGTAAGATTTGCAATTATTTACTGAAGTAAGATTTGCAATTATTTACTGCAGTAAGATTTGCAATCATTTACCACAGTAAGATTTGCATTTATTTACTGCAGTAAGATTTGCATTTATATTTACTGCAGTAAAATTTGCAATTATTTACTGTAGTAAGATTTGCAATTATTAACTGCAGTAAGATTTGCAAAAAAACTTTTAAACGATGCTAAAGCAAAAATATCCAATATCCGCCCTTAAACAAAATTTGCAATTATTAACTGCAGTAAGATTTGCAAAAAAAACTTTTAAACGATGCTAAAGCAAAAATATCCAATATCCGCCCTTAAACAACAAAAAAAATTTACAAGATTTTGACAAATGTTGTCAACAAAATAAAATAAAAAAAATCTAAATATTAAAAAATTATTCTTGATAAATGTTACCTGTTATAATCACCACTTTGTTCTTCAGTTGTGGATCCATCTTTTATCTGAAACATTACTTTTCAGGGGCAGATACAGGAGTTTGTCTAGGAGTGGGTAGACTTTTTAGTTTTAGAAAAAGGGGAGGAGGGCTCCAGGCTCAGTACCCGTTGGGTCTGAAAACCCCCTGGAAATAATAGATTTCACCCCATTTATGTTACTGTTGTATTAATATTTAGAAATTATAACCATATTCTTGCTATTGTTGAAGTTTCAAACATTAAGAAACAACCAGTTCAAATTTATCCAAATAGTATAAATGAGATTTGTAAGTCTTGTAAGTCTCTAATGTTGCACTGAGGCAAAATGAAAAGATTTATTCAAGTATGAAAATACGGGAGAACAAAAGAAACAAGAAAGTTGTAGTAGTTTATTTGAGTCCACAGCAATGAGCAAGGAAGAGAAGAATGGAGCCAGATAGTGCAGTGTCGATCCTAGGGTTAGGTCACCATTTTGTATATCCTGGATCTTCTGATGGAACTGATATCATAACAATTATCAGTGTTATTTATATCGTCAGATAACTATTATAATTATAGAGGGTTTTTATACATACATTATTTCCATTATTGGTGCATATTGTTTAACTTGATTAATTTCCTTGCTGTTTACTTGGTGTAATGCTAATTTCTTAAATACTAAAGTGTAGGGTAGGTTTGACCTGAATAATGGGTCAACTAGGGTTCAACTCTAAAAATAGATACGGAAAAATTCGACGGTTGGTTAATCTATTTTTATCTTTTAATTGTTTTTTCTTTCTCATATTTCTTTAGAATATAAATTTAAATTATGACACTTTACAGTTACACTATATACACTAAAATACTCACTTTATACATTTTTGAAAAGCCCTTGACCAACGCCAATGTTATACCAAATATGCAAAAATATATTTTAAAAAAAACTTTAAAACCGCAGTGTATGTTTAAGAACTTAAAATCTGCAGAATCAGTTATTAGCATGGCAGTGAGCTAAATTGTTTGCAAAATTTATTTGCAAAACTTGTTCAATCTGCTTCTTTTAAGGTGCAATCTGCTACTTTTAAGGAATTAATGAATCAGTTTTCTTAATGGAAATACCAACGTAAAGTGAGGGGAGGAAGGCCAACCACATCAATCTCTATTCCGAACCACATTCTCCTCATTTTCTTGTCCAAACCACCTCGAAATCCTCGTCCTTTCAATATTATTTTTTGAAAGTGTCCGATCCTTGAAAATAAATACATTTTTTAAAAAATATGGCGACGTTAGGGCATAAAGCATGACTAGAATAAAGTTTTCCGAGGATTTTGAGATGTTGGAATCTTCAAATCCACGAGAATGATGTCAAACATTATTTAGGTAAAACTTAAATCTCTTCTGCCTCCATAATGGCTAACCTTCATGATATAAAATAAATAGAAAAATATTCGGCATACCTCTGCCTATAATTTTCCCCATGGAACCACCCTTGTGGCTGAATTCTTTGAAAATTGACGACACTAATGAAATCGGAGATAGCAGAGTGTGTGCTCTTCATTTTGCTTAGTCTGATTTTAAGCCAAATTTGAGCACTTTTTCGGAACTTCCAGAAATCTCCCCTGCAAGGAAATTTCTCTTATCTTCTGCAATCCCATCAATAACTGTAAAAGAACCAAGATCTTCATTATCAACCTTTTTGTAAAATTCCAAAGAATAAGGCATCTAAATGTAAACAACAAGGTCATCACATCATACGAAATTTAAAACAAAAAGGCTAATTTATGTTTTTTTTTCTTCGTCATTTTAAGTTTTTCTCAAATTTTATTTAATATTCAAAATATCATATAAAAGTAAAACGCACCTTTATATATAGAGGGGGGGGGGTTATAAAATTATTTTCCATTTTAAAAGTATTCATTTGTTTTTTATGCATCCCTTTAATTCAACTAAATCTACCCAAACCAAACTAATACCAGCATATGGGGTAGATTATCCTACCTAAATCCACCCTGCGGCTAGATTTGGGTAACACCACTCTTTGTAATACCGGTATCATGCATAATACCAGTATTTACACTTCTAAAGAACGCGTATGGTAGATGATCTACCTAATTAATACCACCAAGCAGGATTTTTAAAGAGTGGTATTTAGCTCTCTAGAACCTGGCTATTATTTTTAAATACTTGGGACATAAAATGTCGTCATCCAACAGCATTTAATCACTTTGCTCCGCCCCGCCTTAATTTCTTATCTCTTGAAAACACTGAATTCAGATACTGAAATTATTCAGTTAATATTACAAAACAGCTAAACTATTCATGTATAGACGTGACGCATAAGCCCCCCCCCCCCGTATACCATGCAGTGAGAACCAGAAAAAAGTGGAATTGTCATCGTTTTTTATAATTATGAAATGTTCAGAAATATTTTTTAATTTGCAACTATTTTTTAAATCGAGTTTTAAACATTTTGAGAATTGCATCAACTATATTTGCAATGATCATTGCAAATTACAAAATCTACAGCACATTATCTCAATCAGTTTGTACCGTTCTGTTACAGTATTTTATATATTTATCAATATCTATATTCATTTCTAAACTATTGTTTTAATTGAGTTAACAGTTCATAATAATAATAACAGTTTAGATTAAAAATGCTTTTTCTTTTCTTATTTATATAATACAGCTGTAGAATACACGATGTTAAAGAATTCTTATGATTCAAATGGGGTTATAAACTGAAGTATAAACGGAAGTATAAACTGAAGTATAAACGGAAGTATAAACTGAAGTGTAAACGGAAGTATAAACGGAAGTATAAACTGAAATATAAACTGAAGTATAAACGGAATAATAAACGGAAGTATAAACGAAAGTATAAACTGAAGTATAAACGGAATAATAAACGGAAGTATAAACTGAAGTATAAACGGAATTATAAACGGAATTATAAACGGAAGTAAAAACGGAAGTATAAACGGAAGTATAAACTGAAGTATAAACGGAAATGTAAACGGAAGGAAAATATAAACGGGTCCTTTAACAGTGTTTACATACAGGGTTACCCATGTAGGAAGAGACTTCAGAGACAATTGTACGAAATTGGTTTCGTCCGTTTTCTTGAATTCAGGGTTCCTTGTATCCCAAAACAGGCTTATTTCTGTGCTCGATCATTTAGTAAACCACCAAAATACATAATTGAATGCAGAAACCAGAAATCAAGTTTTAAATCGTCATATTTTTAGAGTTTTAGGTCGTGTTTTCAGTCTGATCCTTTATGGGTAACCCTGTACTAGGGCTGGGCACGTTCCGACTTTTTAGAAATCGTTCCGTTCGGTTCTAGAACAAGGACCTTCAGCTAAATCGTTCCGTTCTTGTTCCTTATATCGTTCCGTTCTCGTTCCATTCCGTTCCGTTCTGAGTAGAAGAACGGTCTTTTTGTTCCGTTCTTGGCGTTCTTATTCAAAGACCGGTTCCATCCCGTTCGTTCCGTTCTTAGTCAAAGAACGTTTCCATCCCTCGTTCTGTTCTTAGTAAAGAACAATTCCATCCAAGACAAAAGTTTTATAGAAAAGAGTTGGTAAAAAAGTAAAAAAATACGATTTTAAAATAAAAGTTCCTCGCCGTAAATATACTTTAAATTATATATTTTAAATTTAGGGTTAAAAGAATAAGCTTAGATAATTTATAATTTTGTGAGAGCGTGGGGAGGGGCGGGAGTTCTAAAATCCTTACATGTACAATATACAGAAGTTTATGTCTAATGACGCTCATACCTTAGAACTGAACTTTTCCTTCAGCTTTTAAAAGAATGTTATGCAATGGTATATTATGTACTGTATATTATGTACTGTATATAAACATAAAGTTCCTTATAAAGAAATATAGATCACCTGCACACAGCCTTTTTAAATCGGAAATACTTCCGAGGTTAAGTTCAGTTTTGTCAGGTTGTAATACAATGCAGTTGCTTGAAAATAATCTGATAAAGTGAAATGGGACTGTGTACCATAGTACCTACTGTGCAATGCGTACAATGAATATATGAATATATTTCAGTTTTAAACAATGATGGTTCCGATGATATCAAAGCGAAATGAGAAAACTAAGAAGGTATTTAAATTTTTTTCTTCGAATCTTTATTGTTTTGGAACATTTTCATCAAAATTTAATCCCATTTTATTTACCCTGGGATCGAATTTAATGAATTTGAGCAGAACTACGTCTACTACCTAGTACCTAGATTTAGGAAGGGTTAGAATCAATTGTTTAAATTTTAACCGGCGGTAGGCAGTTCATCGACCTCTCAAATTTATTAAATTTGGTCATTGTGTTCTGTTCTGATTTTTGTTCATTCTTGAACACAGATACTCATATTCGTGTTTTTTGTTGACTTGATAATTTGTATTTTGTAATGATAAGAATAATTTTGGAATGCATGTCGTCTTTCTTTTGTTATTTACTTGATCACAGCTGTGGATGGTGGTGTATTTTTCGACCTACACATCCGCCATACTCCACTTCTGACCTACGCCAAATCCGCTATACTACACATCCGACCTACTAGCACGTGGTATTACAGCTGCTATATGGACTTGTGGCCGCAGCGCCCGGCCCCCTAGCCTGTCCTAGCCGCAGCGCTCGGCCCCCTAGCCTGTCCTAGCCGCAGCGCTCGGCCCAGAAATTGTCTTAACCTAACCTAACCATCAAATAATACTAAAATAAACAGCTGGCGTAGGTCCGATATTGCAGTAGGTCGGAAAGTTAGTAGGTCAGAAGTTCAGTAGGGGGGATGTTGCGTGTAGACGATGTAACATTACCCTGTGGATTTTGAAATTCAAATATACACAGTAAGAACCAGAAAACTGTGGAATAGAAAGACGACATTAAAACAATAATTAAGTGTGTAATTTGCTATGTTTTCTAAATCTACAGTTTTACCAGTGACTTAAATCACTCATCACGCATGGGTCTGTTTACACTACACAATTACTGTTACTCATGTTCATTGGACTTTTTATGGTTATAACTTGAGTCTAAAAGTCGTCTTCCTATACAAGAGTTTTCTGATTCTAGTGTTTAGAAATTGGAAACTTATAATCCCGATCGTTTTATCTCGATATGATATCCACAATGGGCACTTTGAAAATTATATCTCTCATATCTTCATTTTAGTTATTCCTCCCCTGATCAAAGCTCCCTTCAACCCCTGACCATGGGTACGATTACCATGCGAAATATAGAATAAAGACTAAATTAATCTGCAGATTAACAAAAGATCAACGATTGATCTTGATATCCACAAGAGTTCCCAGCTCAGGGTATTATTAAGAAAAAGGAGGTTCAGTTAGCAATCACAAATTTATAATAGGAGGGAAAAAAATCACCAATAACTCAACGGTTTTCGACCCGATCTTGAAAGTTAATGCAAAAACTTTAATGGTTGCTGTTGAAATATAAAACTTAAATAAAATAAGCACTGTTTAAGGGACTGTAAGCATAATTTTAAATGAACTTCCATTTATATATGTCATGTCCGATTTACAACAATACCTTTTAAACGAATGAGGGTATCTACCTCATCGTTGTCCGGACAAAGGTTTAAAGGTTACGAACTTACGTTTGTGAATTGGACATACCTCTCTATAAATGATAGGTCCCCAGCCCCTGAAGTTACACGTAGAGCCCCTAAGCACGTATTTTTCAATTATCTCAAATATATTTTCCAAGATGGAAGAAGTAAAGAAGAAGAAGATTATGAATGAACACAATGAGGAGGTTCTCATGTCTCTGGATCTTGAGGTTGTAGACTTTAATGACGCATCCTGGACGGACGATTATTCGGCCGTTTATTCCTCCATCGACGAAGGAGATCCAGACACATCCTCTCACTGCTCTGTGACGGGTAACAGCCTTACACAACAGGTACTGTATAGTTACACTCATGACAATTTAAAGGGACTGAGTGTTCCACTAATCATGACAATTTAAAGGGACTGTAGACATATTTTAAATTGACATGCTTAGTACTTCACGTTGTTCAATACGTTATACTTGGTATCCTTTAAATTGTCATGCTTAGTGGTAGATACTGAATATACTTCAAGTTTGTTCAATACGTTATACTTGGTATCCTTAAAATTGACATGCTTAGTGGGAGATACTGAATATACTTCAAGTTGTTCAATACGTTATACTTGGTATCCTTAAAATTGACATGCTTAGTGGGAGATACTGAATATACTTAAAGTTTGTTCACTACGTTATACTTGGTATCCTTAAAATTGGCATGCTTAGTGAGAGATACTGAATAATCTTTTTTCCTTTACAACCTTCTGATTTGATATTAAAAAACAAATTTAAATTTTTGTTTTGTTTTTAGCGACAATGTGCCTTTGAATAATCCAGAGAACAACTACCCCATCAACCTTCAATGGAATGGAGCTCCATATCCAACCTATGCTCCATTACAAACGTGGCTTCACCCTCCATTATGTGTTCAAAAGACTGAAGGTCCAGCTTCATTACGTGCTCTAGAGACTGAAGCTCCAGTTCCATTATGTGCCCTCGAGACTGAAGTTCCAGCTCTATTATATACCATAGAAACTGCAGTTCCAGCTCCATTATATACTGAAGAGACTGAATCTCCAGCTCCATTATATATCATAGAGACTGAAGCTCCAGCTCCATCACGTGCCCTAGAGACTGAAGCTCCAGCTCCATCACGTGCCCTAGAGACTGAAGCATCAGCTCCATCACGTGCCCTAGAAACTGAAGCTCCAGCTTCATTATGTGCCCTAGAGACTAAAGTTTCAGCTCCATTATGTCATCTCAATGAGACTGATCGATGTAACCTTCAAGAGACTGGAATTTCAGTTCCTTCCTTCCAACTTTTGGAGACTGGAATTTCAGCCTTGTCCCATGATGAATTGAGGTTGCCCGATGATGTAATATGCTCATACATACATGGAGAAGAGCAAACTTATGATTTTCAAGTATCTGACCAGAATCAAGTTTATGAAAACAATAATCAAGATTTTAGAAATTCGATTTTAGAAACATATTTTTCCAGTAACTTCGTTCTGTAAAAATTATCAATTTTAGGTCAAGGTGACAATTCAAATGACGGTCAAGCTTTACCTGAAGATACAATTAAAACCAGTTCTTCTTTTAGTTCAATTTACTGTACACCATCTTGCAGTACACCATCTTGCAATACACCATATTGCAGTACACCATCTTACTGTGCACCATCTTGCAGTACACCATCTTACAGTACACCATCTTGCAGTACACTATCTTGCTGTATACTATCTTCCAGTACACCATCTTGCAGTACATCCACCAACTCTGCTGAGCAACAATATTTTCTCATATACCCAGATACCGACGGTGTCCCACCGTTCTATGCCCCGTGTTCCCTGGTACAACATGTACCGGACAGTGCAGTACATATCGGTCTAACTCCAGTACAACACTCTGTTCCTCAAACTAGAATTTTTCCGGATCGCGGATTAAACAATTCTCTAAGATGCAAGAAATATAGAAAAATCAGGTTAGATATTTTATCTCTTAAGAAAAGATTACTTTTTATTTTGATATTAGTTTTTTTGTTGTTGTTAAAATCATTCATCAATATTTCTGGACTCAAATCAAAGAAATAAAAAGCCCTTTCAATAATTTTGTTGACACAGAATTTAAAGTTCTTACAGTATACAGGAATTTTCCCTGGGGGTTGGCGGAATTACTGAGTTTTGACCTTCCAGGGGCGGGGGAAGGAGTTTAGTCCACATTACGATGTAAGGTACTTTCCCGAAGGCAACTTCACAAATGTGCAATTTCCCAAGCGGCAACTTTCCTAGTCTGTTTTAGCCGCAGCGCTTGCACACTTGGGAAAATTGCACATTTGGGAAGTTGCCACTTGGTAAATTATCCTTTGGGAAGTCGCCCTTGGAAAAATAGCTCACCCCACATAGCCCCTCCCCACAGCCCCTCCCCACAGCCCCAGCTGCTTTGAGCTTATCTTCATGACTCATGGGATTTTTAATGTTCTAACATCTTGACAAAAGATTAGTTCTTTATTAAACAAGTCTATAGAACTTGAACACGGCAAATAAACGTAACATTTATATATAGTCAATGCGAAATGAAGACTTATTGAATTCATATGCAACCTAATAAGCTTTCTTTTCTCAGAAATCTTTTAATAAAAATTCTATTAATAAATTACGTAAACAGAAAGGAGAGAGAAGAATGGTTAAGGAGAGAGTTGGAAAAGGAAAAAAAGAGGAATGAGTACCTTCTTAAGAAAAAACAGGCCCTGAGTAAAGAGCTGAAGCATCATGTGAATATGTTTAAAAAGAGCAGGTACTGTAAAACTATATCTTGCAGTTTTTATCTACAGGGTGTCCCACATCACATTGTATTATGAAATAAATGCAGAGTTCGTATTTCATGGATGACGATGATTAATTTATGTGCGCATACCCAATTCTTATAAATATCCATTTATCTATTTAGATCCTTTACCACTGCGAACCAAGATGTGTAGACTCACGTAAAAATTAAGCAGTAAATTTCGCCAACTACTTCTTTTATACTTAAGCTAAAAACAAACGCGTTAAAGATTTAGAATGTATATGCCCAGGGCTGAAAAAAGATTGAGTCGAGGCTCTCTAAAAAAAATGACTTATTGCTTTCTTTGGCTAGATATCAATGAATTACAGAGAGATAAATAATTCCAAAAACTTGGTAAGTCTACATTAAACATCGCCATTCAAGAATAAGAGCTTTTTCTTTAATCCAATATGTTTTTTCTAGGACACCAATTTTTGATCAGTTATAATGCACACACACCATAACCTCCTCACCTCATACTATATACACACCTAGATACATAATCTAAGCTAAGGCAAAAATATTTTTATTTTCGAAAGGATACTTGCTAAGGATGTCTTCCCGATTGTCAAATTCTCAAAAAAAAATTCACTTCACGAAGTGAGCGTATTTTATCATGTAAGGGTAAGCCCCGCAAAGCCGCTTGTAGTTAGGGTTTTGAATCGCTTTTAAATACGATCGAAAATATATTATCGTTTTTCGTTTTTTACTAAATCGATCATATCGTTTTCAGAAATAAACTATGGGGCTGCACAACGAACGTACCATTCGTTTTGAACTTTTCAAAAACAAAAAAAAAACGATACGATCGTGATTTCTTGAAAAAAATATCGTTTAAAAAACATCGTTAATAAATATGATTATAATTTTAATTTTCTTTACATTTTATATTATCGAGTGAAATGAACGTAACGTTTTCGACATCTAACTTTATTTTTTACATATAAAAATTTGAAGAATGTCGTCTGACATGTTTTTTATAACAGGAAATGAGCTAATATTTCTTAATTTTATGATTTTTACAATCTAAGGGTTTTATGACCAAAAATAATTATTGTAAACAAACCGAAACGATCGTTTTTTCAAAAAGTGAAAACAATACATCCCTACTTGTCTGGCGAAAAACGTTTAAAAACCCCTGTATGATGAAATTGGTAAAGTGCGTATAATTCAGCTGAAATACATTTAAGTTATCATTATCAAACTGTGATCAAACCCCTGTACGATGAAATTGGTAAAGTGCGTATAATTCAGCTGAAATACATTTAAGTTATCATTATCAAACTGTGATCAAACCCCTGTACGATGAAATTGGTAAAGTGCGTATAATTCAGCTGAAATACATTTAAGTTATCATTATCAAACTGTGATCAAACCCCTGTACGATGAAATTGGTAAAGTGCGTATAATTCAGCTGAAATACATTTAAGTTATCATTATCAAACTGTGAGAAAATAGCTTCTTTCGTCATAATTAATATGATAAGTTAATATAAAGATTATTCCTAGCAACAATCTACTTCTTATAACTTTTTCAAGATTTTGAAAGGAGATTTTCACCTAAAAAAGGGAAAATTTTAAAGAAAATGGCATTTCAAGTGACCCTATCGAAAAATAAGCGCTTTTGATCACTACTAATTTATTTCTATCTGTTGCGTCTATAAGGAGAAAATGGTTAGAAACTACTCGTACCGAAGAACGTAGTGTCCATACAAATTCAGAGAGTTGAAACATTCAACTCGGATCGTAAAAAATCAATTTATTTCTAAACAAATCATTTAGATATTACAACTAGTAATCATCGATAATTTTTCCACGAATTGTATATAGTTGATATTTCATAATATTTTTATTCTTCTGATCTGATAGTTACTTTTGAAAACATTTATTCCTGTTGTGAGGATTTTTGATAATGAAGACGACATTTTCATATTTTCCAGGAATGTTCGAAAATGCCAGAGAAATATTATCCAAAAAAAATCCAAAATATTATGAAATATAAACTATATACCAATGTGTCGAAAAATAATTAATGACTATTGTTTGTAATATCTGAATGATTTGTTTGTATTAAATTGATTATTTTACGATCCGAGTTGAATGCTGCAACTTTTTGAATTTGTATGGACGCTACGTTCTTCAGTATAAGCCGTTTTTAACAATTATTTTCTTATAGACTCTACAGATGGAAGCAAGATTAGTAGCGATCAAAAGCGCTTATTTTTCGCCCTAAGTATTTTACCCCCTCTCATTTTTCGCGAACACTCCTTTTAAGAGCTTGTGTCCCTGTTGACATTGATAGCTGACGAGTTGCACTTGGATTGATACATTTCTGAAAGCAGTTTTACGAGTACGGTATTTAGTACAAATGTAGTTTTAAAAAGAGTTCCAGGGCCCAAATGTGTGACTCATCCAGCCAGACGCTTCATTTTATACTTCAGTCTTCAATCAGTTCAGTTCAGTTCCTAACTTCTGCATTAAATACTAAAAGTATACACATATATGTGACACAGTGTAAACGTTTTCCCTAAAGTTACCTCTTGTCCGTGGTTGAATATATCACACAAATTTTAACACTGTATTTGAATCTTATAGCCATAAATTACACTAAAGGAACTGAATACTCACTAAACAGAATTCTAAACAATATATATTTGCAACCTGATGGCGTAAACCTTTTTAAACTGTTAATTTTGTTAGACCAAATATTCTATGTTTTAAATATTGAAGGTGGCGAGATTTCAGTTCCTTTCTTGTTTAAAAAGTTGAGAGTTTTAAAAATGTTTAGAAACCCTGTGATGAAGAATGATCCATGTGTGAAGAAGATAATTGATCAAGCAAACTTGATTTCACGCAAATAACAATACTGTAAATATTTTTATTCAATTTTGAGTGAATTGAATTTTTGCAAATTATCTTTTTTCCATCTCATGATCTTAGTTCGTTTCCCTTTTGTCCATTTGACGGCCCAATTTTTTATTTTTTATCAATTTTGATGGTTATTATATCGTTAGAACTGACGAGGATCAACCAAGTCCGAAATATATTTTCAAAAAATGTGGAACAAAAATCTACTTTTTTAACTCCACAGAAGTTTGGTCCATTACCATCACCGAATATTAGTTATTATCTATTAATAGATATTTTTACTACATATAATAACACTGTCAAGAACCTTGCTCATTTTGAAGATTTTTATATAGAATTAAAAAAAGTGTATTTGAATTAAAATTAAAGGGGATGGTGGATTTATCTATTTAGATCCTTTACCACTGCGAACCAAGATGTGTAGACTCACGTAAAAATTAAGCAGTAAATTTCGCCAACTACTTCTTTTATACTTAAGCTAAAAACAAACGCGTTAAAGATTTAGAATGTATATGCCCAGGGCTGAAAAAAGATTGAGTCGAGGCTCTCTAAAAAAAATGACTTATTGCTTTCTTTGGCTAGATATCAATGAATTACAGAGAGATAAATAATTCCAAAAACTTGGTAAGTCTACATTAAACATCGCCATTCAAGAATAAGAGCTTTTTCTTTAATCCAATATGTTTTTTCTAGGACACCAATTTTTGATCAGTTATAATGCACACACACCATAACCTCCTCACCTCATACTATATACACACCTAGATACATAATCTAAGCTAAGGCAAAAATATTTTTATTTTCGAAAGGATACTTGCTAAGGATGTCTTCCCGATTGTCAAATTCTCAAAAAAAAATTCACTTCACGAAGTGAGCGTATTTTATCATGTAAGGGTAAGCCCCGCAAAGCCGCTTGTAGTNCAGGGCCCCCCCCCCCCTACATCAAATGTGCCAACTCCACCATCCCCTTTAATTGAAAATACTATTTAAAGATTCTGTATTCTACTAATTATAACTATTTAATGTTTATTTTAAAAATTGTTTCAATTCGTCTTCTCAAGAAATATGTATGTTTGATTTTTATAGTTTTTATTTTTCTTAAATTTTTATCATTATTATTATTATCATCATTATTATAATAATCTATATATTAACTTAGAAGTTATAATAGCTAGGCTTTTAGGGAGCTTCGCGCCCATCTTCTTTTTCAACTTTTAATTGTGGCTTTATCTGTGAGCATCTTCTCTTTGTACAGTATAAATTTTTTTTAATTAGCGGATTTCATAATATTTTTTCGCTCATTTTCAAATTTTACAAAATAAAATTATTTAAGATAAAAATATTTCATGATTACATATTTAACGTCTGATGGCCATAATTTGGGCCTGATCGGTTTAGCCGTTTTGACGTTTATTGGATACAAACAAACAGACAAACTAAACAGACAGACAACGACAAGCTAAATGTATATACAAGAAGCCTAGTTATTATAAATTCTAAATTAATCAATGACTCATTCTATGATGCATAAATCTTAAATGAATCTGTGAAATTTGTTTTGTAAAAATTGATAACAATATAAAAATTAAAAATATTAAAATATCTGTAATACCTTTTTTAAAATATGTAATAATGGTGTTTGTTTCAGATTACATAAAATCAAAGATGTCAAAGAAATTTGTGGAAAATTTTGAGGTAAGAGCACTTTATCAATGTTCATAAATTATTATAATAAAAATACAATATCCCTCCCTAAACAAGCCGCACTTCTTGTGATTTTTTACATTTTTAATTATTGATTTTGATGGTTATCATATCGTTAGTTAAAACTGACGAGGGTCAATCAAATATTTTCCCAAAAAAGTATAACTAACAACTATTTAATTTACTCTGTGAGATTTGGTCCATCATAAGCAGTAATTTTGAATTCAAAATTATTCTTATTCTATTCAACAGGATGGAAATTATTCGCCATGTGACAACAGGAGAGATGAGGTATTTTAAGTTTTTTTTTTATTAAACTAAATTGTAAATTTAAAAACTAGAGAGAGATTGTTCAACTACCAACCACTAGTCAAATTTGTCTTTGTGTCTTTGAAATAAAGTTGAACCAGTTCAGGAGAAATAGTTTAACTATCCGTTTCTAGTTCAACAACATATTGCAATTTATAAATTTCAAAAGTTGGTTTAATATTTTTATAAGTAAACATTCGTTCTTAAAAGGAATTGAGTTTTTGCCACAAACTCTGATTTTCTAATTTCAATATCGTTGCAACCCGATGTCGTACACCTTTAATATTTCAAACTATGAATGCTATTAGATCAAATAAGGTAAGTTTGAAATATCAAAGGTTTACATCATAAGGTTGCAAAGATATAGATTTTACAAAAACTGAATTTGTGGCAAAGACTCAATTCCTTTAAGAAAAATGTAGTTTACAAAAGAAAATGAGTTTTTTAAATCCCGTTATCTTTGAAACCCGATGTTCTAGACCTTGAATAGTTCAAACTATGAATTCTGTTTGATCAAAAAGTCTCAGTTTGAAATATCAAAGGTTTACATCATAAGGTTGCAAAGATATAGATTTTACAAAAACTGAATTTGTGGCAAAGACTCAATTCCTTTAAGAAAAATGTAGTTTACAAAAGAAAATGAGTTTTTTAAATCCCGTTATCTTTGAAACCCGATGTTCTAGACCTTGAATAGTTCAAACTATGAATTCTGTTTGATCAAAAAGTCTCAGTTTGAAATATCAAAGGTTTACACTGTCAGGTTCCAAGAACTTAGTTCCTTTAATTGTATTCTTTATAATGTTGTTTTTAATAAAGACGCTTTTAAAAAAGTAAGATAACACACCCTAAAAACTTTTGTTTATTTCTAGATATTTAATAAACTGATACATATCAAGGACTATAGATGGGAGACAATAAATGGCCTTAAAAAAATTGGCCTATATGAACATGCATAGATCCTCCATACTTTGATTCTTTAGCCCCCCAGGCATCCATAGATTCAAACTGAACAAAAAAACAAAGCTGAGCTGAAAACTTTAGAATGGTGAATATCGAGATTAATGCTTGATCCTCTCTTTTTCTTAATATCGAGACTAACCTAACTTTGTACTTGTATCCTGAAAAGTGTATCAAATTCAACCAATCAGAGTCGCGTATATAAAGCCGATGATTTAAAAATTTTGCGCGCCATTTAAGATTAATATACAGAAACGGTAGGGACTCTCTTATTTTTTAAAACCGGTTTTTAATTTTTCTCTTCTATACCTAAGAAAGAACGGTTTAAGAAGAAAATCAAAAGTGTGTCCAAATTGGATACTCAGATTAAGTAATTCGGATTAAGGATATCTCATTCTAAAGCTTTCAGCTCTAAATATATATATCTTTTAAATTCTCGAATCCTTATATCTTTGTGAACTGATATTTCATACTTTATATTTCAAACTGTTATTTTTATCTAACATGGAAACGGTGAATAATCATTTCATTTTTTCTTTAATGAACAGCTGGAGGATATTGAACCTTCCAACTTCGGACCCTTTGAACTAAACATAAGAATGGATTTGGCTCCTTCTGACCTAAGTTCTGGATCTGGTCATCTTTACTGCTCTTCCCAATGTCCTCCTCCCTTCTCTTCCCAATGTCCTCCTTCCTTCTCTTCCCAATGTCCTCCTCCCTTCTCTTCCCAATGTTCTGTGTCCCATCAGGGCCTTACGCGTCGGGTAAGTCCAAATCAAAGGTTGAATAACAAGATTTAAATTGACTCAAACGATTCATGATTGTATCTTAGAGGGACTGACATGATTTACGGCAGTACCATTTAAACTTTTGACTGATAAAGGTTGTTGGAATTATCTAGAGAAACGTTTCAATTGTTGAGCACTTTGTTAGCAACTTCGGTTTTTTATTTTAAAAAAATATATTAATATTCACTTCCTACAAGTGGCAAACAAAATATTTTCTTTCGAAATTTTAAAATCGCTTTTAAGGTTTAAAGTCAAAGGTTTGGATGGAGGGGTCTTTTGAAATTACGCTTAAAAGTCTCTAAGGAATTGAGTCTTTGCCACAAACTCTGATTTTCTAATCACTATATCTATGGAACCAAATGTTGTAGACCCTAGATATATCAAACTATAAATGATGTTAGATCAACTATTAAAGGTTTACAACATCAGGTTCCAAAGATATAGGGGTATGGATATTTGAGTTTGTGACAGAGACTCAACTCCTTTCTCTCCAACTTGGAACATAAAAATAGTGCTGGCATTTTTATGCTTTTTTACAGTAAACAAACCACTGCAGCGTTGAAAGAGCTGCTGCCAATTATTCTAGACTAATTCTTTTTAACATTCGAAGTTATCTTTTATGGAATTGAATCTTTGCAACAAACTCAGATGTTCAAATCCCCATATTTTAGCAACCTGATGGTGTTAACTTTTGATATTTTAAAGATATTGCAAAGATATAGATATTAGAAATTCGGAATTTGTGGCGAAGACTCAATTCCTATTTTTACAGATACAAAGTAACATTTTTTAATTTTCAGCGACGATGAAAACTCTGTTGACAAAGATAGAGATAACAATTCAGGCCACTCAGGTAATATACTTCTATATACTTAAACTTGCCTTAAAACAATATACTTCTATAAACTTTAACTTGCCTTAAACAATATAATTCTATATACTTAAACTTGCCTTAAAACAATATAATTCTATGAACTTTATTTTTATAAAATTAGATGAGAAAGGAAATATTTTTGAAAGCCTAATTGTTGAGAAGGTTAAGCTTATTAAATTAAACCCTTCTAATTACAAAAGTAAATATCTCTGATTAATTATATTTTATTTCTCTATTCTGGGGCGTATTCAGTAATCTGTCCAAGGGGGGGGGGGGCTTTAATCTATTTTACAGGGGTGGCTTAGCACCCGTTGGGGCCAGCAAATTAGCCTCCCCCCCCCAGAAAACTAAAGATTTCGCTGACTGTGTGGGGGGGAGGCTCAGTCATAATAGCCCCCCCCCATATTTACTAAGTTTTATGAAGGATTTTGTTTATTTTAAATAGAAATATCAAACATTAATTCTATCCAAAATAATTAGTTTAACGTAAAAAATATGCCTTATTATTAGAACTTTGCCCCCTATCATGACGTCAACAAATTGATAAGAGATTGTAGTGTTATAATAACATCAAACTTGCTAACAAAGCAATTTGAAGATACAAATGTAAAAAGTGTTCAACTAACCTAACAAAAGGATCCAAGGAGGAATGCCCTCCCTTCACTATTTACCATGTTCCTCCCCCAAAGTGGCCCCTGCATGTTGCAAATTCCTGGCAACGCTGTCCCCTTTTATTCCCCTTAAGACTATTCTAATCCATTTTAGTCTAATATAATACACTTTAAAGGGAGTGACCGGCAAAGTATGGTAGTTGAACTGAGAATGTAGTATTGTGGAGAATTTTTTTAGTATTCTTTAATTACTGAGTTTGAGCGCAAAGTAAACTTTCAAAATCATCCATTTGGGTGCAGGTACTTTTTGAGAATCGATTTTTTTTATTAGTGAAATAACGACGACAAAAAATGTAAAACTAATTAGTTTACTGTAGAATTTTTACTACATTTTTCGTCGTCGTTGATGAATAATTTTTTAAAAACCGATTCTCAAAATTATCTCTCAAAAATGAACAATCTTTGATGATTTTAAAAATTGACTTTGCGCTCTTGCTGAACAAATATGCACCGTAAAAACGTCTCATAGGTCTCAAATGATTAATAGAAAATTTCTCCACAATACTACATTCTCAGTTCAACATTTATACATTGCCGATCACTCCCTTTTAATGTATTCCAGATATTTCAAACAATTTTTACATCTTAATCCAATCCAACCAATTTCTTCAATCACATAGAATACCAACATGTGATTTATAACGAAGTGTAGCATAGAAATGTTATAATTAAAGGGTGTACATCAAAAATATTTTCCACCTACCATTTATTCTCTAATTAGATTAAATCTAGGAATATTGAGCTGAACATTTGCAAAATCATCGACATACACATAAGAAAGAAGTTTGCATTGCCCATGGTTAATATATAAAATAGATAATTTCAAACCAAACTTACATCTAAATCCAATTCCATTTTAATCTATTTCAACACCTTCTTCAATCTCATAGAATACCGATGTGTGTAATATAATGTAATGAATTGTTGTATGAAATTAAAAAATAAACTTATCATAGCTGTTTTACCCAATTACATGTTTTTAAGGAGCAGCAGATGTTACTTCCAATGATGAAAAATATCAACAACCAGAATTTGGTCAGATTGGTATTCAGGACACCGTGGATATCGACTCACTATGGAATACAATAAAAAGCAATGCAATAATTACTGTAGAACCTTCTGGAGATTACAATAGCCCAGAACATTTAGCAGTTAAACCTTCGAACCCTCAGGTTTCAGTTGAGAGCACTCAACCCTTGAACTCTTGGGTTTTAACTCAGAGCACTCAACCCTTGAACTCTTGGGTTTCAACTGAGAGCACTCAACCCTTGAACTCTTGGGTTTCAGTTGAAAGCACTCAACCCTTGAACTCTTGGGTTTCAACTGAGAGCACTCAACCCTTGAACTCTTGGGTTTCAGTTGAGAGCACTCAACACTTGAACTCTTGGGTTTCAATTGAGAACACTCAATCAATTGAGAACACTCAATCAATTGAGAACACTCAACCCTTGAACTCTTGGGTTTCAACTGAGAGCACTCAACACTTGAACTCTTGGGTTTCAGTTGAGAACTTCTGTCAGCCCCAAGAATCCTATTCTCCTTCCTCTATCTTCCAACAAGGGTTTGATTCGGAAGCATCCATTCCACCGACTCAAAGATTAGTCCAAGAAAATGATGATGTGATTCAAACCTTTGCCACCCCTCCAGGAGTTGCGGATTTTCAAGCCTATAACTGTGTTTCCAGTACCAACTACAATTATTTCATCCCCGACTCTATCCCCAATACCAACCTAAACCCTACTCCACCTTCACTCCCTACCTCTACTCCAAAGTCTGACCCGAACACATATCCTTGTCTCCGGACCCAAAGAGCCTATTCTCCTGACTCACACTTCCAGCATCATTTTGATTCTGAAGCTGTACGCTCCCCATTTTCTTCAGATCATTGTGCAACTATTCCTTTCACCAATACCAACTTCTATGCTAATTCCAGACCAAATACTTCCATATTTTTGAACATCCCACCCTCTTCAAGCAGCAACCCGTACCCTAATCCCCAAACCCACCATAACCTTTCTATCAACTCCAACCCTAGACCTTCTACAAACTGCAATACAGATGCACTTAGAGGTCTTTTGAAATTACGCTTAAAAGTCTCTAAGGAATTGAGTCTTTGCCACAAACTCTGATTTTCTAATTTCAATATCGTTGCAACCCGATGTCGTACACCTTTAATATTTCAAACTATGAATGCTATTAGATCAAATTGGAAGCTTATTTGGAAGGGAGTGGAAGGAAGCTTATTTGGAAGGGAGTGGAAGGAAGCTTATTTGGAAGGGAGTGGAAGGAAGCTTATTTGGAAGTGAGTGGAAGGAAGCTTATCTGGAAGGGAGTGGAAGGAAGCTTATTTGGAAGGGAGTGGAAGGAAGCTTATTTGGAAGTGAGTGGAAGGAAGCTTATTTCGATATCTCCGAAGTTCTGGTTTAAACTTTATTTAACTACTAAGATACTAAGATAACTAACAAGTTTTTTGTTTTCAATTAGGAAGGAAATGGCTAGTAAACTTGTTGCTGAGTTAAAGACTGAAACTCTGAAGAACCAGGAGCTAAAACAGAAGAAGGAAGATTTACAGAAGAAAATGCTTGATATGCTGAATAGGATAAAAAGGTAAAAATATAATTAATCTATCTATATCTATATACGCAATGCTTTTAAGGTGCTTCGCGCCCATCTTCTACTTCAACTTTAAATTGTTTCTCTATCTGTGAGCATCTTCTCTTTGTACAATATAACAAAAAAACAACAAAAAATTTCGCAGATTTACTATATTTTATCGTGAATCATGGATTTTCAAAATTTTACTAAGTCAAGAGTTTTAGGAGACCATTTTTTAAATTCTGAGTATTCATAAACTTTCCCTGGAGTCGTGTGAGGTCCCAAACAAAATTTGGGCCCAATCGTTTCAGCCGATTTGACATTTATTGAACCTCGTGTTCTAGATTGAGTTGAACCTGGATTGGTACTGATCTAAAAGGATTTATTGGAGTAGGGCATTTACTACAAACAAACAGTCAGACAGATACTTTGCTTGTCTGTTTGTGTATTTGTATCCAATAAACGTCAAAATAGCTAAACCGATTAGGTCCTAATTTTGTTTGGGACCTTACATGACTACAGGGAAGGTTTATGGATTTCAAAAAGGTGTCTCCAAAACTTTTTGATCTTTGTAAATATTTTTTGTTTTAAATATCTTCCACACATAAGTTCCGACCTGAGGAGGCACTTTATATTAAAGATTATTATTATTTAGTACTCCGGAGTTGAGCTTATTTCATGCTATGTGCGCAGAATTGGAGAAGGAGATTTCTACCCCTTCTGCTGAAGCTATTTGATAATATCATCATCGTCATAATTTAACTATTTATCATTTATTTGTTTTACCATGTGCACTGTACACTGCACAGGGCCAGTATTAATTTACATGAGAAGAATTGAAACCCCTACCTTTTGCCTCATTTATTTAATGCTTTAATTTAATTTATTTAAATAAAAAACTCATAAAATATGTTTTAACAGAACTATAGATACAAAAAAAATTAATCATGATAATGTTATATAAAACAAATTTCGTTAGAAAACATAATTTATTGTCAATTTTTGTGAATTTTTTAGATAATATGGACAAGCTGAGCAAAGCTGACCTGAGGGAAATCCCTGGGACTTCAGAGGAGATGTGGGTAAACTACTTTTATGTAACATAGGTTAGAATACCTGAACTAATTCAGATCGTTTTGAGAAATATGGGGTTACCCACAAAGTATGAGCCTTAGAGACGACTGTACGGAATTTATACTGTCTGTTACCTCATACAGTCTCATCGTAACCCGGTGTGTAAAATCCATTAGCTTTTATAGCATCAATGGCACCCCCATGTGTCTTTTAAGTTAACCTTACTACGTAAGCAAACACAGGTCGCAACTTTGGGTAGATTATCGTTAATCTTTAACTCTTTATCTCGATATCCAATGTGGTCACTTATCCCTGCAATTGAAGCCATCTCTGCAGATGATGATAACCACGGGATATTGAAGAGGAATATAATTAATCTGTAGGTCTGGCGAGAATGCTTTCTCTAAATGATTTCAGGAAATCTGTAGTAATCCACCCAACCAAGGAAGACGACTTTTAGACTCAAGTTATGGCTTTAAATAGTCATATGAGCATGAAACATAGCAATTTTGCAGTTTAAGCAGACCCGTTGCACTTAATAAGTTTATTTTAAAGTTACTGACGTACAACTAATTGCTTTATAACAACATGAAATACTCATAAGATTTCTTACTGGTCGTCTTCTTATTTCATAGTTTTAATTATTTCAGGAAAACTGTGGTTTTGAACCCCAGGGCAGCACTCTTCCTTCTCCATCTATCCACTCCGTAGCCAGCTCTGTCCCTGCCTCCTTGGCCAGTTCTGTAGATCAGCAGGGCCTTACGTGCCGGGTAGGTTCTTAAAAGGACTGTAGACGTACTTTCAACTGTCCCTCCATTTATGGAATGGCATGTCCGACCCACAACAGTAACATAGAAAGCTTTGTCTCGTCAAAAATGAATTATGTATGCTTTTTTGCTCAGGTAAAGGTTTACAGGGTACCATTGCTCATCGGGCCCCTTTTTATGGAGGGTCACTTGAAATTATTTGGACAGTTCCTTTAACTTGTTCTTTGAATCAGAAGTTCAGAACTATGAAATTTGATTATACCATGAAGAAACTGAACACTTACCTCAAACTATAATTCTAAATAGTTAAGGTTTGAAATATAAATGACACCATCAGGTTGCAAAGGATTAGAAAATTAGAGTTTGAGGCGAGTAATCAGTCCCTTTGCAAAAAAATATTTGAAAAAGTTTAAATTTTTGATAAACTTGATAACAAGTTATAGGCAATAGAATCACATGAAAGATGTCGTTTTAAAATTGATAAATTAAAAGAATCTGTTTCATTTTTTGTTTGTTTAATTTTTAAAAATATTTTCATTTTTAGCGACGATGAAAACCCAGTTCATGATGACCTCCAATTCTCAGGTAATTTAAACATAAAAGTTCCTTTTCATACAGTGAGACACAATAAAACTGTGGAAATGGAGGACGACATTTCATCAATCCAGTGTAATCCACCAATCAACTTAGTAAATGAAATGGGTCTGTGTACACCGTGCAATTTTAGTGTCTCATGTTCATTGGACTACTTTATACTATCATAAAACAAGTCTAACAGTTGTCTTTCTATTCTATTTTTGGGTATCACCGTATCAACATTCCTTGTTGGCTCAATAAAATGCTCAAATAAATAAATAAGTGTTTTATTGAAATGAATTAATCAATGTTAAAATGAACTTTGATAAAATATTTAGGACGTAAAGAAGACAATCTACCACTAGAACACACAGCCCAACACTTTGAATGTCGTTTCAAAGCAAAAGTAACAAACCTAAATTCAAATTCAAAAACACAGATAGATAAACTTTTAAAACAAGTATGGGATATCATCAATGAGCAAAATGAGGAACAGAAGCCATCGCGCTCCCGCCGTGTCAGAACTAGTCCCTACCCATCAACCCATGAACTCACTGCTCCAGGGTCTCCGGGAGAAAGCTTCAGTCAGAACTTCGACAGTGCTGGGTCTAGTGTTCCTCAGATTCAGAGCTTACAGAACTGTTCTACCCAAATCTGGATTATATCATCTGATGAGACTTAAAGGGATTGTCGTTGTGATTTCAAGAGACCCTCTAGTAAAAAAATAGAGGAGCTTGCTCGATTCACAACCGTACCCTTGAATCCTTTATTCAAACAATTGAAATAATGAATTTTTAAAATGTTAAAGGTTACCGTTGTGTATGAGGCATGCAACTCTAGAAATGAGGAGTCCCTTAAAAATAGGACACAGTCTCTTTAAGAATGTAGAATGTATTGAAATGTATTAAGGGCAATAGCTTGATTGGAATTAATTATAACACATTACTGTAAAACAAATTTAAACTCCCTGAACAGAATTTGGAATAAATCATGAATTTTGATAACTTTTACTAAGTATTGCTAAATTTCAAAATTATTATTATAAACATATTTGAATTATTACCAAATTCGACCGTTGTTTTCTTATTAATGCACATAATATGTAACAAAGAAAGTAAGTTGTCAGTTTAAACTGTGTTTGTGCTTCTGCAATCTGCAAACCTTTTTTTTTATTTTTTATATAAAACCACTTCTATAACATGGATTTTTAAATGTAAGCTGAAGATTTGTAGTTTGTACAAAAAATTTAGTTCAGAGCTTGAACAGACATAAAACCCTTTTTTTTACATTATTACTTATTTTACATTACTTTCTGCCCTAGACATTAGGAGTCAATAATACATGCATTATTTCAAGCATAAAATTGCCAAAGAATACTATTGGGACCATTGGGATCCGAATAACATCTGTTTTGTGAAAATCTAATTTGATCAATTTTGGGAGGTACAAAATTTGGGAAGATTATCATTACAAAAAAACCCAAAAATTTTGCAGACAATTTTTACAACATTTAAAGATTCTGGAGTAGGGTGTTCCGAAGCTATCGAAGAGGCTGCGGGAAGGGTAAAATCTACAACCCACGTTCAACTAGTAAATTACTTTAAGATTGAAATCTAACATGTTTTAAATCATAACTCTTTAAGATGAGAAGAACAAAAAAATTTAGATTTCTAATATGAACCGGATATATTTCTGATATTTAACCGGAAATATTTCTGATATTGAACCGGATATATTTCTAATATGTAACCGGATATATTTCTGATATGTAACCGGATATATTTCTGATTTGTAACCAGATAAATTTCTGATATGTATTAATATGTAACCGGATATATTTCTAATATGTAACCGGATATATTTCTTATATTGAACCGGATATATTTATAATATGTAACCGGATATATTTCTAATATGTAACCGAATATATTTCTGATTTGCAACCGGATATATTTCTGATATGTAACCGGATATATTTCTAATATTGAACTGGATATCATATATTTCTAATATTGAACCGGATATATTTCTAATATGTAACCGGATATAGTTCTAATATGTAACCGGATATATTTCTGATATTTAACCGGATATTTTTCTGATATGTGACCGGATATATTTCTAATATGTAACCGGATATTTTTCTGATATGTAACCGGATATATTTCTAATATGTAATATTTTTTAAATATGTAACCGGATATATTTCTGAAATTAAACCGGATATATTTGCTGATATAAAACCGGATATATTTCTAGTACATAACCGGATATATTTCTGATATGTAACCGGATATATTTCTATTATTGAACCGGATATATTTCTGATATGTAACCGGATATATTTCTAATGTGTAACCGGATATATTTCTGATATGTAACCGGATATATTTCTAATATTGAACCGGATATTTTCTAATATGTAACCGGATATATTCCTGATATGTAACCGGATATATTTCTAATATGTAACCGGATATATTTCTGATATATAACCGGTTATATTACTAATATGTAACCGGATATATTTATAATATGTAACCGGATATAGTTCTAATAAGTAACCGGATATATTTCTAATATGTAACCGGATATATTTATAATATGTAACTGGATATATTTTTATATGTAACCGGATATATTTCTAATATGTAAACGGATATATTTCTGATATGTAAGCGGATATATTTCTAATATGTAACTGGATATATTTCTAATATGTAACCGGATATATTTCTAATATGTAACCAGACATATTTTTAATATATAACCAGACATATTTCTAATATGTAACCCAATATATTTCTAATATGTAACCAGATATATTTCTAATATGTAACCCGATATATTTCTAATATGTAACCCGATATATTTCTAATATGTAACCGGATATATTTCTAATATGTAACCAGATATATTTCTGATATATAACTGGATATATTTCTAATATTTAACCCGATATATTTCTAATATGTATCCGGATATATTTCTAATATGTAACCGGATATATTTCTAATATGTAACCGGATATATTTCTAATATGTTACCGGATATATTTCTAATATGTTTCCAAATATATTTCTGATATGTAACCGGATATATTTCTAATATGTAACCGGATATATTTCTAATATGTGACCGGATATATTTCTAATATGTAACCGGATATATTTTGTAACCGGATATATTTCTGATATGTAACCGGATATATTTCTAATATGTTTCCGGATATATTTCTAATATGTATCCAGATAAATTTTCTTTTCTCATACTTGTGAGTAAAATCAAAACAGGAGGAGCTACAAGGTTAAAAAGTGGTTTTTAGTAATGTCTGTCTATTTTACAGTGACCCAGATATAAATTCTTTGATGTAATGTTTGTATATGTTCTTTTATTTGCAAGATTTACCATCAATAAAAATAGAATTTTCCGAATTAAATCTGAACGATTTTTTTCATCTTGGGTTCTCTTTAAAAGAATTTAGGTTTAAAGGGATTCCACCCCCCCCCCCACAACCATAAAATATTGCTCTTAGAAATAAAACAAAATAGACCTCTAACTTTAATGGTTAGGGTGCTTTGGTGCTATGGAGAGGTTTTAAACAATTCAAATATGTCAGAGAATTTATGAAAAACATTTGACTTTATTTCTGACAAATATTAACATGTGATAGAATGTTGCTACATACATTTTTCAAAGGGTTTTCAAATAAGAAATTTTTAGATCTGTACCTCAAATCTCAAAAAACTATGGACAAATTTCTACAGTTTCGAACTTTTTTATAGTATCGAAACATGCACCGACCTGGTCCTCTGGCTCTACACTAGCCAATGTACAAGAAAGATTTTTGGCATAATATGCTTTCAATTAAAAAGTTGAAAATTGAAGAAGTATGAATATTATTATTATTATAAAGATTTATTCACACACAAAGATATAAATACATATATAAATGGTGTAGTTAACATTTGTTTAAGTAAATTTTTTTTGAAAATACAGGTTTCCAAAAGAAAAGAGAAAAAATATGCAAAATTATGCACAAATAGAAAACATTGATTTTTACTCACTACATAGCATATTTACCATTTCAGTTATTACGTAATCATCGAATCCTTCAACATATAAATTATTCATTCTTGTACTTAAAAGTTCTTGTAAAACCGGAACTTTCCATTCATGTTCCAATGGGACATCAAAATATTTCATTTGTTTCTTAACTAACATTTTACTAAGATCGGAAGGATTATAGACACAACCTTTACTCGAAAATCGAGTTTTTTAATGCAGTAGCGTACTTGCACTATATGTCAAATTAAGTATAAAGCTCTTCCGTGGAGGGGTCGAGGGAATAAAATGTTAAAAGATCTAGATTATTAAGAATTAAATTTTAAAAAGTAAGAAATTTCTTTTTAAATATAGTGAAATTAACATATATACCTAGTACATTGACGACAAGAAAATTTTAGAAATTAGAAATTAGAATATAAACAAAGACAATATTATTTCAAAGTTTGCAGAGTAGCTTTTCTAAAGATTAAAAAAAGTAACATCCTTTTCCTCTTAGAGTAAAACTATTTTTTCTGTTACTTAAAATAAATTAAGTTTTTTTTCCAGATCTTTGTAGTTAATGTAAAATGAATGACTATAATGAAGGATACAAAACAAGGTGAAAGCTGAAAGGTATGAAATGAATTGCCTTTATTTGATCGAGTTTGTAAATGCCCGAAATGAGTGGAAAATGCAAATCAAACCCAACTAAAACCAATAATTTGATATACATCATGATATTTTTCTAGTTGGGGGGGGGAAAAAATCAAAAAGCCCCCCCATACAGAATCCTTATTTACGCCCCTGGGGTGATCAATATTGGAATTGAGCCAACGGTCCAACTGGGGTTGCTGCGTTTTCAATTCAAAAAAATATTTTGCAATAAAAAAAGTCACAAATAAGTCACCCTTGATATATAGTATAAGAACAAATGTTTTATATATAAAGAATTGCGGCGAAATATGTATGTTTGTAATGTTAATGTTTATGTTTGCTTATGTATATATTCATATTTGTTACGTATAGCCGGCTGTACACCGTAGCAATTAAAGAGAATAAAAATTCCTCTAAAACACTTTTTCTTATAAAAGTTTCTCACGTAAAAAAATAAGAGCTAAACCTACTCAACATGGCAGAGGGGGGGGGACGTTGTCAGGATTTTATGAACACCCCTGTAATCCATAGATTTCACTGGTCCTGAAGGGTGGGGCCTAGCCCCCCTGCCTGCTTACGCCTCTGACTCCTTCCCTTCTTACACACCCAACTATAGCTGAGCTCCACTTGTTAACGTCTGACCCTTGCAATTAATACAATTCAAGATTACAATAGATCCTGGCTTCATGCAATTTTAGATTTTTATATTTTCGGTTTCCGACCTTTTTCAAAAAAGAGGGGGGGGGGTTCAGACCGTTCAATGCTTGATCCCTGAAATAAGGTTATCCATGTCCGTGCAAAGGATATTGAAGAGGAATTGCATAATCCGTAAAACTGCATTAAATACAGATCAATATGGTAGATCCTATTCCGCAGATTGGCAACTCAAAAGTTATGAATTCTGGGCTGAAAACTTCAGAATGAGATATCCTAAATCCTGAGTATCCAATGTACACACTTTTGATTTTATTCTTAATCCTATTTTTGGATATCCCTACTGTATAAAAGTTACGTTTGATAACAATGTCAATTACAGATACAATATGGATACAATGCTATATCGATTGAACTAATATCCGATTGAATTAAAGTCAGCTGTGCACAAGCCGGCTTTTAGAGCATTTAAGCAAATATAAATTTAATCATGTTAATAAGAACTTATTAAAAAATATATTTTATCACATTTTAGGACTATCATCATTTTAAACGAGTCTTAACAAACATTAATCCAAAACTTACATTTATTTAATCGATGTTTAGTTCAATTATTATGACACAATTAACACCAGAAAAAAACTGGGTTTTCAAA